TCGTCAATCCAGAGCCATATTGCCCAGGTTTTTCAGTACAAATACACCAGAAACTCATTATTTGGTTATAACGCAATTACTGATTATCAAGTTGGCTGAAGTGGCACTACTTGTGGGATTAATTCAGCCACCCTGCTGATAACTATCAGGAGCATTCCTAGCGTGGGCACCCACGACACTCCACAGCTTACTCGACTCGGCAAGTCCCCTTGTAAGACGGTAGAACGCCAGATCACGTGGAGGAAAGTTGGATTGCGCTCGACACGCAGCACGAAATCAATGCCTTGCTTGCACGGGCAGTAGTTGTCGCACTGCCGAATACATTAGTCATGTTATAAGAGTCGGAAACGGCACGCGCAACCGATATGCGCGTACCTGTGAGCAAGTGGCGTTTTTCACATGGCCGAAGACTGAGTGCGGTAAAAGGCGCACTTTAGAGGTCTGAAAAGAGTGTCGTCAAACGACGAGCGCAATGGGTGCTCTATTGGGGGCCTTGGTATTTGGCCTTCGTAGTTATGTGCCCTCGATCAGCTGTCATGTCTTGTATAGGGGACAGAAACAAAATTAAATTTATCCTTATAATTCAAACATGACTCTAATCTTGACTCTGACTTGAAAATACCTTTATATTCCGCAGTTGTTTTCTGGAATAAACGAGAGGACGCAACTACTGATACCGTAATTATAAGTATGGTAGCGGAATTTTCTGCCTGGTATGCTTACACAATAGTTTCAAGCCAGAGTAATATTATGGGTCGGTTTTAAGTTCAGGGTAGAATGCGGCTTTCAAGTTGGGCTTCAAGATCTGATTTGCGGATTAAGTTTCGAGGTTGGATTCAAGGTTCACGCCATAATTTATGGTTGGGTTTATGTTTATTGTTAGAGTTTAAAAGTAAAATTCCAGTTGAGGAGAAAGTTCGCCGCTTCAGTTTGAGACCAATATTTCCTTCGGTAAATAGTCCCCGCGTGTACACCGACTTGTACATTTCCTATTCTATCCGTCGTATTTATTTCTTCATATGCCTATCTTGTTCGTACTCCCTAGTGCAACGTTTATTTAAACGTTTTCTCTACCAGCCAAAGTGCAGTCTCGAAAATGTTTTTGAGATTGCATCAGGGACGCGAACACTGAAACAAGCTCAAGAAAGTGCATGTGCTACTGGATGCTCCTATGCTCTAGTTAATTTAAACATTCGCACTTAGGCTCTCGACTAAGTTACTGAGTGCGATGTTTCATTTAAATACAGTCTTATTACGTTCAATGCATGTGTAACTAGGAATGCTTTATCCGACGCAGGCTATTTGTTGGCGTCTCAACACAGATGCCAAGAGAACAGGCGGTTATGAGAAATGAACAAGATTTGGAGAAACGAGGACCACCAGGGCGTGAAGGGCCTAGTTTTTGTCCTGCCTCAATAAATACTGTAAAGTCTGTTAATGACATTTTGACCTGCCATTGCTGTCTAGCGGCTACATTCTACCGAAACATGTGGTCGTCGGAACCTAACACCTTCAGGAAGCCTCATTTAAACAGGTTTTCAGACTCAGTATTAGAGTCAGCCTTGCGGCTTCCGTGGAAACAGACACGCTCCTTATTCGCGGTCTAGTGGGACAGGCGAATAGTGTGCAGGCCGGGTTCTGGGTATTGGGTGGTGGACTGTGCAGGCGTTTATTTACCTTGGTACCCGTTGTTTGACGATACGTAATCTCCGCCAATACGTGGATATCCGTCTCTTGTGGAATTCAAATCCCAGACTTAGGCTTTTGCGAGATCAGTATCAAGGGGTTCATCTTCCGTTTCATCCTC